GTTCATATATGTATATAAATTTACAAATATATGATGATGACTGCTTCTGTCAGCAATGTTTATCAAATTATTTATTGTATTAATTATTGCGTTTTACTCGGTGGTATTTATTCAGGTAGAAAATAAAGCCATGTGCACCCTTTGTAATTATTTAGTAACGTAATGTTCAGTCAACGCCAGACATTTTATAAAATGTTGGCACTGACAGAATTGTGGGGTCGAAACTATTAATCATTCTGCCACATTTCTGTACATATTTCTGTTCCCTCTAGAGATGATAATGACTTCCAATAGTTGGACCATTTTAAATCTTAATTACTTTTCGTGTATATTTCTAATATTTCACGCGTCAACGTTTAATAATTATTTTTTTTTACACCTATTTAAAGGGAGATAACCATCTACTGCCAGACGTTTCAACTCACCATACGTTTTCTCAGTGGCATTAAACAATTTTCCTTTCCTTGTTCGGTCCTTACATTTTCTGGAAAAAAATCCCATCACAAAGGAAGCAGCAAATTTGCATCAGGCTGGCAATGGACATCTTGATATACACAGTCTGGAAGTATGTAGTACTATGTACTTCTTTATTTGTTGTGTTTCCTTGTTATCGTTAATAGTACTACAGCAATAATAGTTTCACAGTTTTATTGGTATATATATGGCTTCTTGGAATGATCTGGTGAGAAGTCTAGTTAAAACTCACTTCAACCCTTCAATTTATACCGGTCTCATTCGGCAGGTCCTTGGTATTTTTCCATGAAAATACGTAATAAACTTGTTTATTTCCCACCACTAACAGAGATAGATATTACCTTATTTGGTCTAACAACCATAGGTCAATAAAAAGCTAGAATCTGATGACTATTTTGACAATGATTATAATTTGACCAAAATATCACTGTTTATACGTATAACTATACCGACGTTCAATAAGTAAGTGTGATTTGACTTTATAGATATGCAAAATTGAAGAGACAATTTTATAAAGACCCCAAATTGTCTCAAGGGCCAAAGTGCTACAAGTAGCCTACAAGTAGCGGAACAGTAAACATGTAATAATCCGCCACATCTTTCACCTTAACATGCCTCTTAACCATGTTATCCTTCCACCAAAAATGCATAAATACTCACCAATCAAAATGAAATCAATGAAGAAATGGCGATCCTTCAAGTGTATATCTTGCTTTTTGTTTTGAGGTACATCGTGTGTCATTTGTTATAAAAATGAATAATCTTTCTTAATTTATTTCGGGAAAATATTTTGAAGAGTCTCAAAAAAATGGTGTTTATATTGGAAATACTAGAATATTTTTCAAATTTTATTTTTTATTAATATGTATTTAAATATACATATATTTTCTCTCGAAACACCAAGGCATGTTTTTCAATGCTTGAACAATATGCAAACAGTAAATTTGCAAATCAACGCAATATTTCTGTCTATCAGAGGTCATCTGTGTTTTCACATACTCTTATTCGAAGTCCAACTGCCAATACTTACATGGGTTAACGACTAGGCATAATTTCCATGTTACCTCCTCAAGCTAAGTATATGTGAGTATATTGGATTTCTGATATCATGAAGGTTCTTCTCGGCACACGCTGGAATATATACCCGGGGGTGTATTTTTGTGGCTGAGGGCGGGGGTGGGGGGTGTGGTTGTGTAACAGGATCTACATTAAGAGGGTTCTTTGGTGGTGTGAACTCTTTAAACTGTGTATACATTAAAGATACATTATTTATAAATAATTGAAAATATTTATATTCAAAATTTCAGTTAAATGACTTTATTCTTATCGAAGATATGAACGTGTGAAGGTTTGTCAAGAATTAGTCTACGTTGTCTCGATTGTCAAGTACCACTGGCCTTCAATCGGTAGTCTCCGTGAGTGACGGCCATGATATCGATTAAAGAAGATTTATCACCCAATAATACATTCTACAGTAGATATCGCTTGTGTGATAAATTTCATATCCTACTGCCTTATCTCCTGAGGAGATATCGCTTTACATGAATTTGATTGGTCTGTTAATAAGGAACTATTTTTTTGTATTTTCAAAGTACACTTCATTTTTTATTAAAAATAACTCCTTTTTTTTATTAAAAATGAATTATTTTTATTTAATTGACTGGGTCAATATAAAGGACATTGCAATGTTTGAATTGTTGTCAAAAAATGATGTATCACTACGCCGTAATGTAATCAGGTTCAGTGAAAGTGAAGTCTATAGCAAAGAATTATATTTATTTATTTGTGTACGTAAGAAAGGATTGGGTGATAAATAAAATCTCCTACTCGTCTTCTCTGTCGAGTTTTTTTTTTACTTTATCAACGAGTGGTTTTTTTTTATATCAAAAAAGACTCATAGGAGATTCTCTATATAGCCCACATCGTCCAAGCCATCCAATCTAGAGAATTCATTATTATATATGGGGGTATGAATGTCTAAATAATAATTGATATAACATCTAAAGCCAGAAAAAAGACCAGCAATCTCCAGATTTAGTTTACTATAAAGTCAAGGTAACAATGTTTTAATTAAAGACGCTACAATACTAAGGTGGGCGAGAAGAAACCCAGCAACAGCCAGAAATAATTAGTTCTACTCAAGTTATTTATAATATTCTATTAACCCCTATAAACGTGATGTTTATATTACATTAACACAGAATTGTACTTTTTAAATTAATTGTTTCATAAAATAGGTTAATATAGCTTCCTTATACATGGTTTCTTTTTTCATCTCTTTTCCATTACCAGAATCCAGTTATTTAAAAGGAAGCACCCTTCAATGTAAATTAGATGAGAGTTATACTAATACGTGTAGGAGAACCGTACTACACACAATCAAAACCGATAAATCAAACCCGTGGACACACACATGTCAAGAAATAAACAACAAATAGCAAGTGAATGGATCCGAGGGCCAATTACTGGACTTTAGGAATCTAGTAGGAACTTTATGGTAACTTGGTACCTTAGGTGATTAAAACCTACATTAAGAATGAAATAAGGTTTAACGTCTGTACCGACTGGTGTGTGCTATACAGTGTGGTATGAGGGAAATTGTACCCGTACAGCGGCCCTACAACCTACTCTTAGTTCTTTTACCCTCACACCAACGTGTACACCGAAGCTCGGTATTTCACACCAACGTGTACACCAAAGCTCGGTATTGACTAGACAATGTCAATGCCAGGCTCTCTGTCTTCCATCCCTGACATAGCAAAATATTGAAACCTGCTTCTGCCAACGTGGGTAATCTAAACCACGCCACTTGACTCACTTATGGCTACACCCTCACCCCCACCCCGCAGACAAATACCTTAATCGTAGGGTGGACAACTTCGCATCTTTATCGATCTGGGGTCGGTTGTAACGGATCGTTATCTTTAATGGAGAGAAAGTCGAATCCCCGTTAACTTTAACATTATTGTTAACTTGCCTTTATCTGTTTGTCTTTAATCAAGTGTTGTGAACAGACAGCGCAGGATCTTTCTTCAGTTTCTATGAAATTGTTATACATGTACATCGAATTTAAAGGGACCCTCGCATGTCTCAGAAATAAAAGTCCGTATTGGTATGAAATTTAAGGGCCCAAATACAGAGGAATGGTGATCTTTTGGTCGTGAATGTCAAAACCGCTTATCTGGACATATTATAACCCATGGGGGGTGGGGGCGAATGGTTAGTGCTTGCGCGTTGTATCATAAGGCTGCTAGAGGTATACGCGAATACTTGTCTTCGGACAACAGGAATTTGCTTAGTGGTTTACATCGGACTATACGCGTACAGGGGAACGCTATACGCGTATACAAAGTATCGTGCATGTTCGTTTTATTTTCGGCGTATACTTGCTGCAGGGAGGAGTAAATTACATGAGGTGTGTAGAAAATAGGGCATTGGTGGACATATCCCTAGGCATGGAAGACTATTCTAGATTCTCCTGGACTATTGGAATGAGCCGACTCAAGACCTGACCTTCACGCCACCATCCTTCACGCCTCCGCAAGCAGAAACCAAGTCAGAGTTTCCTATTCTTGTGTATTCATTCTGTCCGGATATGAATGGGGGTACCAAAATCGGTGGGAAACATAACTGACCAGGCCAGTATACTTACGTATAGTATATGCCGTGTAAACCGCCGTGCCTGTATACCGTATACCGAATACCGTATATCGTATAGCCCAATGCCAATAGCAGTCTAAGGTGTAGGGTCGTCTGTCCATTCTCGTGGGTTTTCTCCGGGTCCCCCGGTTTCCTTCCACTTCTAAAGAGCCCTGCGCGCAAGCGAATTATTGAAATAAAATTGAACCATATGTTATTCCAGAAATAACCTACTTTGTGTTGAGTGGTCGTTAAACCCCATTTCTCTCTCTTCCCCTTTAAGATTGGGTGTCCTGATAATCTATTACCGTTCCTTTAGAGGTCAAAACAGTGCGTGATGCATGTTCTGTGCTTGATAACAAACGGTAAATTACACCTACACGTTATTGTCATAAAATAAAAGTCTGGTTTTATCCAGACACCGTATAATACAGCTTGGGACACCGGTCTCCATTTCCAGATGAATACTGACGGGTTTAAGTTGATTGAAAACGTATCACGTATATTGAGTTAGTTGCTCGGCCCTAAGGTAAAGGGTTATAAGGGCTTTCAACACAAAATTAAGCAGATTTATTCTCCAAAATATAATCGAGATTGGCATTTTAAAAATTTAAAATTCAGCCAATGAACAAATAGTCTTCTCATGGATTAACTTTAATCAGTCCATTTGCTAACGGATAATGACAGTTACTTTCCAGCAACGGAGTTTAACGGATCGTTAAAATAACTGAGTTTTGAGCAATCAGTCCCTGATCTTTCACGAAGTTCGTTCTATAAACTTTAAAAATACTCTCTTATACGTGTTGGGCCAAAACAACTTTGTTAATTTATATAACATTTATTATTTAAATTTATTATAACATTTATTATTTATATATGGCATGATGGTGTGATTTAATAGATGAATGCAGCATTTCATTTAAATTATAAATGATTCTATCCACAAAAGATTTCGGTAAATCTGAAACAAAAACTATGTGACACTTAAATCTGAATTTTCAGCTGAAGACGTGTTTGCTTGACCAGTGGAGCCATTTAATTTAGAGTCACTTTTAGTTTCTCGGATTGTGCCTGAATTCGAAACCACGGACGTGGCGCTCTCTTGGCTACCGACGAGCTGACTAACAGATTTGGATTTCATAAAGTTAGTGGTATTATTGAAACGATTGACAACGCCTAAACTAGTAGTCTCGGTGCGAATATTGAGTGGGTTGTAACACTTGTCTTGACTTTTCGCCTTCTGATGTTTTTGATGATATAGAGCGTATAGCTTTGGCACGAACAAACACATTAAGCTAACAACACTGTTCACAATTAAAGCTAAAGATAGTATGATGACTTTATAATAAGCTCGTGATGTCGTGAAATAAGTGGGAACAAATGATATCCACACTAACAAAGTAGTATCCACACAGAACGCGATATAACGAGATTCGTTATAATTATCCGGAAGTTTCCTTGTTTTGAACGCATAAAAGGTGCAGATCATTACCAAGAATAGGTTGAACGATAATGACGACAACAGACCCGCTAACGGCATGTCACAATATAATTCCACAAATTTCTCTGTTCGAATCGGCATGCGTAGCTTGACTGTTGGTGGTGACATAGTTGTTGACAAAATGATAATGAGTATCTGAAAATAGATTAACAAATATTAAATAAACCAATTAGCATGAACACGTACTGGAAATTCAAAAATCATTGATGTCTTATAATCATCCAATGGGAGCGCCACGGTGGTTCAGTGGGTGGGACTTTGTCTCGCTAACCTTGCGGTCCCGTGATAGATCCAACAGACTACAATAAGTTCAGGTTCTGTCTATCTGTTGTGCTTAAAAATATGAGGCACTTTTCAAGAATAACATCTGTTTGATATAGCTGTTATGACAGACTGTGTAAGTTCTGTCAAAATACACCCCAACCCAACTCTCTCTCTCTCTCTCTCTCTCTCTCTCTCTGTTAAAGATGCCAAAACACCCTAACCACATTACGTTATTGAAAGGTAGACATAAGATCGTCAAGCGTTCAAGGTCATGAAAAAAACAGTATTACCCTATATGAACACCGTCACATAAATCTTGTGTTTTAAACATTTTGTTTGAGCTTTAAAAAAATTATTCACAAAGCAGATCCAGATAATTATTCAGATTTTAAGCTTCGATCATGTTACACATCGATAAGACAATATCGCAGGCAATCAATGGTTGACGTTTTCACTAATGAATAATAGAACAACTTTACTGTTAGTAAAAGTACATTTCTAACAAGACCCTTTTTATGTCTTCTATGACGTTAATGCCATCTCCAAGTTTTATTTCTGGGTTTTAAAGTGTTGTAGTCTTAGAAAACAAACCCAAAACCTTTCCACCTACACTTTCTATTTTTATTGATAATACATTTTTACCACTCACATGCTGCATATTGAATTTCCAGGGCCGTTTTATTACAGTTCTTAACGAATGAGGCATGATATACTGGAATCGTGAATGATTTACATTTGAAGGTCTAGACTAATCAACATTTGAGATGGTTTAAGAATTTATAAGTAACCAAAAATAACTCTGTTAGTGACGATTTTCTATTTTAAGATTTATATGCTCTACAAAAACAGAATGCGGAGATAAATTTAAACAGGTTTTTCTTCCATTTTACCACGTTCTATATTCATTTAAAGGAGCTAAATCTCTAACTCTATATTGTCTATAATTTTCGAAATTTAAAACACGAATTGGAATTCAATATTGGTCCATTTCAATCAATATTGATGCTGTTTTCTTGCTGTGAAAATATGGCATCCTTATATCCCATATTTAAGACACAATGTACATTTTAAAGTCAGTACACGAGTCGTGTACCATATGGTTTCGAGCGCCATCTGTAATGAAAAAAGACAAGCATATCCAACAAAACACTGCGAAAGTAAGTCGTAAAGGCTGATTGAAAAACGACAAAATAATAATTAAAAAAACGCGTAGAATGGACTTAGTAGACGTCAAAGACTGTCGTTCAATTTGGACTGTTCGGGTATTTCACCGAACATAATTGATTCGAAATTACAATATTTTTTTATTTTTATTTTTAAATGAATATAAATCCCTTTATATACATTCATATTACATTAATATGTGCTTTTAGACCCTATTTGTCTATTTTAAGGTTCAAAAGAATAGAGCCATACGTCCTTTAATACGTACAATTGTTCTCAATTGTTACAATTTATGAGCCGGGCCCAATAACTTCACGAGTAATGTATACCCAACTCAATGAAGATAAATCGCGTGAGTGTAGCGGTCCTAATGATCCTTTGTCTCGCCAGATAAAGCATTCTTGGAAGAATATATCCCCAATCTGATGAAATTAGATCCCAAGGAGAGCATCATAGGCTTTGCAGTACAATATATAAGGCTGGAAAATATAGCGTATAAAACTCGAGAATAATGTTGCGATCAGGTATCACAAAATGACTACTTGGAGAAAACAGGGCGCGGTTTGTAGGCTACAGATTTCAGAGAAACATTATTACGCCGTGTATAAGTAGCTGTTCCGGCTTTTGGAATCCATGTTTGGCTGTAAGGCTGTAAGATTGGTGGTCTCCTACGTAGTAGGGCCACCTTATTGCTCCTAAACCCAATTTACACAATTTTAAGATCATTTATCAAGTATGCAATGTTTTCAGTTGGTATAGTATTTTAGAGAAATCTCAGTAATTCGGACTCGGATGAGTAATAGCTCAGATTTCTAAGTAGGGTCCGCTTTCATGTTGGTGGACGGCAACATTGGCCTTTAAAAGTTATTATGTCCACCGGCTTACTTATATTTTTCAAGCAGACATATTGTTTTATAAAAATGAAAGAGGTTATGCATCCCTGGTGTATTCTTTGATGAGTAAATTAATAAAACTAACATTATTATTGTTAGCCGAAAGGAAAATAAAGCGAACTTGTGAAATCACTACTGACGAACACGAAACGTTGTCTGCCTGAGTTAGCTCCGCTTGATAACAGACACGAAGCTGGTTCACCGACATTATTGATTTTAGTCGAAAACACTAAGAACGCTTCGAGAATTTTCAGAAGTATTTATTACGCTTCCATTTTCATATTTTCAACTCTTTATTGGTATTTGTGTGTTAAAAGATGTGACACGGGTTAGAACTCCATATGTTAATCGTGCGCAAATAAAGGAGAGGCGTGCCATTAGACCTACTCCATTATTGACAAGTGCTCATGTTACAACTGATTGAAAACCTAAACATTGGGACTGGGTAAGTGTCAAACTGCGATGTTATAAATCTCTTATGTAGTACTGGTTATTGTGGGCCCATTAACTTAAGTCATGCCAGGAATGAGTAATGTAGAATTCAATTTGCATGTATTGAGTGGTTACAAGGACACCGGAAGCTATTATTGCGCGACCAATGTTGCATCATTATGTTGAACTAAACAGTTGTGTTATTACGATCTCGTTGGACATGGAGTGCTACGTATATGGGGACAACATCAATGGCGATTCCAAAGGTTTACAAAGGACTAAAATAGCCCAAGGGTCCATGTGTATCTACCAGAGTTAAAAACTAAATAAATATTTTAAAAACCAAATCTTTGAAACGGGTGGGTGGCCAAAGGGCAGATTTCCCATTTCTTATGGTCTAGGGGAGCAAATCCATCAAAATTCGCTTGTCTCTGTCCTTTTTGACCCCCTCCCCCCTGTACATATGGCTTTGGGTAACAATCCATAAACATTCGTATGCCCCTGTCTCTTTGATAACCCCACCCTACAACCATTAATTAAGGGATTCGTGGAATGGGCGAATTGAGAAGTATACATGAGGGAAGTGTCATGCCGAAAAGAGGTACCATCCATTCACGGTTGGTAGCAATCTGCACCAAGGGCGAATTATATGAAAATGGTACTGAAGTGTGTTCTGTAGTGTTCCAATAAGCAAATAAAAGAGCTGCCATTTGATCTCCATATCGAATAGGTTTGTATTTCCTGATGTATACTTGAGAGAGAGAGAGAGAGAGGGGGAGAGAGAGAGAATGAAATGAAATGGGGTTTATCAACGTCCTATTGTTCTGCTCCGAACTGGGCTAATGAAGACGGGCATACGCCATACAGTGTGCTATGAGGGAAATAAATTTTGCTCGGACAGCGGCACTACGGCCTACTCTTGTATCGAATTCCAACTGCCAAGGGATCTTTTACGTGCACGCCAATGTGTACACGGGACCTCGGTTTTTCGTCCCATCCGAACGACTAGACAGCTGTCCTTGTCAGGCTCTCCGTCCTGCATCACTGACAAGGGGGAACCACGCCGGAAAATCTGGATGAACTTTCTCGGCCAATGCAGGGATCGAACATCCGACCTCCGGGCTAGCGAGCCAGCGGCTTACCCACTTAGCCACGTGATCCCCTAGAGAGAGCGAGAGAGGGGGAGAGAGAAATATGGTTTAACGTCAACTCGACACAAACTAGGTCATTTCGGGACTAATATTATATGGTTTAATTTTATTTCAATAATTCGCTTGCGCATAGGGGTCTTTAGCAGTGGGAGGAAACTGGAGGACCCGGAGAAAACCCACGAGGTTGGACAGGCGACCCTATTCCTCGTCACGTACAACCGGGGAATCGAAACCACGCCAGTTGACTCAATGACAGACCTTATGATGCCGCGCGCACACGCTAACCATTCGGTCATCCAAACCCCAATACTTGGTTGAAACTAAACGGTGCGTAAGTGGACTAAAATACTATCACGTCGTAATTAATGTCATTAGACAATACAGAGGGCCATGTTGACATTCTTCAGTTAGTGCCTTTATAAATGTCAAAGAAAAACAGCGCCCTCGGCATCTAATTAAATCCATGTGCCGAACTCCATTAAACAAAACAACATGCAGATTTATATTCGATAAAAACAGATCTCGTATTCTGAAAAGTTCAATGTGGATCCATGATTGAAATTCTGATAAAAACATTGTCGTCAACTTCTCTAAGATTGCATTTCCTTGCGTGAAAAATAAATCTATTGCTGTACACTCATTAATTGGTTTTTTTTTTGGTTTGTTTTTGGTTTGTTTTGTTGTTGTTTTTTTTTTGGGGGGGGGGGGCTGAGTTTCGGGGGGGGGGCATTGAGTTAAGTGGCGTAGTTTCGATTCCAAGCCTGTACGTGACAAGGCATAGGGTCGCTTAAATATGCAGCCTCGTGGATTTTCTCTGGATTCTAGCCCCTGTTTCCTCCCACTAATAAATACTCCTACGGGCAAGCGGATTATTGAAATGCGACCGTATGTTAGTTCCGAAATGGCCTAATTTGCGTCGAGTTTCAACCCCATTATATAATAATAATAATAGTAAATGTCCATTTCTTGAGCGCGAAATCCACCCATAAGGATGCTCAAAGCGCTTTTAAGAGCAATAAACTATATACATGTCTGTTCAAAAATTTAGTCAACATAAGAATGTTTGAGCAAGTGAGTTTTTAATTTGGATTTGAAACTTGTAAGAGTTTTGCTGTCGTGAATATATTGAGGTAAATTGTTCCACAGTTTTGGTGCAGCAGTGCTAAAGCTTCTATCTGTGAACTGTTTTAATTTTGATGATGGCATGCACAAAATGTTTTGATGCTGGGAT